TCTGGCCTTTCTGAGCTCAGGCTATCGGTGGTTTACTATTCTCATGACTCTCGGTCCCGTTCTCGTTCGTCACCTTCCAGGCACTTCAAGTTGCCGATTGGGTGATGTCGGATTACTACGTGGTTCAACTTCAGCTTCCTAATTATCTTACGTTCTTACTAGTACTGCTGTACCTAATGCTCGCACGGATTCTTTCCACTTACTAGACGTGCACTGTATACCTACTACTACCGCTACCCACCGGAAAACTCATGGAAGACGTCGTTCTTTGATGTAACCCGTATGCATTGTGTGGATCTCGACGTTTGTGGGCAATGTTGGCGGCAGTGATCACTGCTTGAACTGAACCACGACCTAACTCAAGCGCAGCGCTCGTGCATTGCAATCACAACTAGTCTCCGTCCGAGATAACCTGGCGCTGGCTAAGGCTAAGGCGAACTATCGCCCACACTCCCTGAATCATGCACGGTGTTGATTCGGCGTCATGTATTGCATACAGAGCTTGGATCGTCGATCTTGGAGTCTTCTCAGGATGTTCTACGTATGTGCTTACGAGTAAGTGGTGGAACCTTCTGCGTGAGAGGGGTGTCCAGACGTGCCATATTATACACGTTACCTAACTGAAAGGAAGTACGCACTGATTCCCACTACGAACTCGTGCTCTTTGCTCTTCGAGTCACTGTAGAACTCGCGCAGTTGAAACTACATACGCTAGGTTTACAATACAGCCTTGTGTAGTAGCATCTCACCATAATCCATTTACTGGCAATGGCCCAGCGGGCGGCATCTCTCAAAAAGGAAATTCAAGCGCATCACGTCGGGGCTTCTGCGGCGGAGGGATGCGCAACGTCCCAATTGCTTGGCAATAGCCAAAATCTGTGCGCTGACATAAGCAGAAGGGGCAGCAACTTTCGTCGTTGCGACCGACCTCTCCTCCGAGTCGATGGGCTCGTGTGCTTTCCCATACAGATATCGTACCCGCCGACAGTCGATTGACACAGATAAGCTTCTAGATGCCTAGATCTCATACAGTCAACCCGGGCTTCTTGGATACCGCAGCATCTAGACTGTGATTACAAACAGAAACTTCCACCACAATTCCCATATTCAACAAACTCCTCCACCTGCCAAGAGCGATGTAGAGGGGTTTCCGCGGACACAACGGACGCCCATGGATGGACGTGGTGTGAATGTATGTACCTCGGCTCGCGGAGCGAAAAAGTACAACAAACTGAATTGTGCTATCCATGTGGTGGTGCTTATGGACGAGAGAGGATTCGTTTGAGATTCCTGCAGAGGCGTGTTTTGCCAGAGGCGATGCCTGCTTCGTCGTGACCATCATTTGGGGTTCATGGTTCTTGTGGCGAAGGACAGCTTCTGGAATAGCTTCCAAGACTGCCATTCCGCTCAATCTTGTTAAGTCGACAGCATCTTGGGAAGATGAGGAGGACGCGCGTATACTAGACGTATGCTCCAGGTACATCCTATTATGCCCTTGCTCGAGGCTTTCGTTGAGTAAAGTATCAGCACTAGATCAGTAGCCATCTGCATATCGAGAAATGGAGGCGTAGGGGTCGGGGTTGGGTCTGAGGGCGCCAGAGTTGGGTGAGGGAAATCGGACGGTGTAAGCAAAGTACGCTTGAACTTGAGCGTGAGAGAAACTTCAACGATGACTAGTATTTCGCCGAGCACAGCTCTGGCTGTGGCTTGGAAATACGAGCGAGGTATTCTCGTTCGAGTAAGGCAAACCTGGTCCACCACCGCTTGCGAAGAAACCCATTCCTCTGAAAGTACTGTTGATTCCGTCTGGCGGTCTGTGCCTGAAAGAGGGCGGGGCGGGAATACCACATCTGGAGCAAGGGTAGAGAGGAGGCGGCGGTAGCCGGTACCCGCCATTCATTCGCTTGATGCAACCAACGCTCACCAAGATCTAGATACTGAATTCGTGGCCATGGATCAGAGCGGCCAAGTTTGAACAGGGCTTGCCTGCCTGTATAGAGATCTTTCCTTCCACACCCATCATGCACTGAGTATAAACGCTTTAATCGGAGCCCTGGCCCATGTCCCATATTTTTCCTACCTTTCGTCTCTTTCCCCACCTCAAAACTTAACGAGCACTCATGTCGGATAACTCGAGCTCTTCTTCCCGGCGCCGTCCCTCCCCTTCATCATCCACACCCGAGTCTGGGATTCCCGCACATGGCCCAACCTCGTCTACGTCGGCTCATCATCTCTCGGGTGGGCCTCCGACTCCCAACAACTTGGGCTATATCTATCAACCGCGACCCAGCCCAGAAGAGCTAGCTGGAAGGAAGAAGCATAACTACAGCGTCAGGTTCAGCCCTTCCACGCCTGATGACGCTTGGTCGCCAGCCCCATCCAAAGGACCTCCTAACGCCAAGCACACCGAGGGCGGGTGGGTACCACAATCCCATCCTCATGCCGTGGATCCAGGCCACTATAATCCTCCCGCCTCACCGACGCCAGCGCCATCCCGCACTTACGACCACTTAACGTTGCCACAATCTGCCCACCTTCCTTCTTTTTCATCGAACCCCAACAACGTCTCTACCTCTCAGCTGCCCCATACCCCCCGCCCCGACAATAACGCACAACTCCCCGATGTCCCCATGCCCATCCACAGCGCCCACTCCTTTCCCACGTCGCCAGCGTCTACTGGCTACGCTTCGCAGTCGTTCTCCACACAAAGTCCCATATCACAAGCGCCTCGTCAGTCGACGTCACCGCACATGGACGTGGAGTTGGACTACCTGTTGCGCTTCCACAGTCCGTATTCCGACATCGCTTTCGACGTCCGTGATTATTGCGAGGATATCAGAATCCGGCTCAAGAAAGAGTGGACCTCCCTCGAGGAGGTCGCTGCTAGGCCGGCTTTCAGTCCTCCTAGACGCTCCATCATCATCCGCCTTACCACCCCCTCTGTCGGACATGCCTTAGTGGCGATCAAAGCCCCCAAGAACACGACGCTCACTGTGGGCTTCCTCCTGTTTTCGCTCTGCGAGTTCATGCAGAAGCCTGGCACCCCTCCGAGCTCCAACGCCCTGTCCGGCGCGGAAGTGGCATTCGGCAAGAGGATCAGCAGGATCGTACAGTTCCATCCATCCAGATACGAAGATGAAAGGGGGCAGGGGCTGAAGAACGTCGATCTTCTCGAAGGGTCTTTTACCTGGCTGGGTCTCGAGCAGGCTAAGGACCTCGTGGAGGGCAAGGTCGTCTGGGATCTCAGGCTGGCTTAGGGACGGCCATTGACGATGACGATGGCCAACGAGCCACGTCACACACACTCGTTTATCAACCACATTCCTTTCCACCGGCCACCTCTTCTCTCCCTCTCTGGTAAGTTTGTTCTTTCTCTTTCGCTCAGGTGCTCTGATTCTGGCTACTTTCTTAGCTTCTCGTCGCTGCATCTTTTCTCGCCCGCATCTAGACGACTCTCTACAACTTGACGCCCCCTTCCTCGCCAATCTCTCCATACTCGTCATCACTCGCCACTCTCGACAACGCGCACAACACCTCTCTCAGTCGCACATGTCGACTCTCTCATGACCCGCATCCCTCTTGTACAATCACATTCGCCGCCACACTTCGCTTTGCCCTCTCGCCACACACCATGACCCGCTTCGTATACCCACAACAGTGCGGCCGGCCTCCACACTCGCCCTCGAAGGCACATATAAATCCCAAAAACACACGGAACGATCCAAACCCAGACAAAAGAAGAAAAAACCCCAACGCCAAAAACAACCGCCTTGTTCTGCCCACATTGTCCTGCGCTCTGTCAATGTGTCTCGCAAAGGCTTCCAATTCTCTTCACTCTTCACCTTTCACCCAAAGCCGCCCATTTTCGCCTCTGACTGCTTTCCGACGCTATCGTCTCCTATCCCGCATTATCTATCGACATGGAGTCTGCTCTCGTCGGCATCCTCTCTCCCTCGTCACGAAACCGCGTCTAACCGCATGTATCATATTTATCCCCCCATGTATTTTTCCGTCTCTGCAGGCCAAAAAGGCGTATATCTCTCTATCTTTCTATCTCTCTCCGTTTCTCTACCTCTCTCTCTCTCCATCCTCTCGGTCTCTCTGTCTTTATTCTTCTGGCTTCGTGATGATGACTCTATCACATCACTCGGACCTGTTCGATTTGTGACGCTATCATCATCACTCGGATCTGTCCGAGTCGACTTGATCCTGTGCCTTTTCGTTGCACAGTGATCTTCATAATCATGTATTTTTGCTTTCTCAGTTATGTAGGCTTCTCCCCGCTCGGGTCAATTCCCGTGGGGTTGGAGAAGGCAGTCGTCGGCGGTCGGATGAACTAGGTCAAGCCTAGCACTCACCCCCTGCGGAGGATTGTTTCGTGTTCGCCCACACGAGCCATGGTACTTTTGTTCCCTCTCTACCTCTCGGTCAACTAACACATCTTCTAGAGTTTCAGATATCGATCTCATGGTTCTCGGGTTTCCTCCTCTCGCTCTCGGTGCGGGTACACGGCCCCAATATCGCCACTTGGGCGTTCTAGAAACGCATATTGCCATCCAAGCGGCAGGGCCTTGTTTGATAAATGTAATGTACTTATATAGCAGTCAATAGTAGTCGCTCGGGCTGGCACCCTCAGTTGACTCATACCCATGTATTTTAATGTACATACACACACAACCTTCAAATCAGTTTATACTTGTTATCCATTGTGCTTTCAACAGCCTTGGCCTATCTCTCATTAGTATAAATGTCTCCTCTGCTCCTGTCAGGATTGAACTCCCTCTTTACTGTTGGGAAGTCTCTTTCCTCTCTGCTCCTCAAGCTCCTCTCATCGTGAGATGATGTCAGCCCTCAGAGTCACAAGTGTGATGCATGACTTTGAAAAGTTGAGTATGTAACACAGATAGCTAGTTAGTAGTTTGTAGTATGTGGCTACTTAACTAGCGCTGTGGGTACAGGAACTGCTCAAAAAAAGGTCATGCTTTACAGAAGACTGTATATTCGGATACGGGGAATCGAACCCCGAGCTGCCGCGTTCATATAACTGTTTCCGCTTCATGAGAGGCGGCAATGTTAACCATTACACCATATCCGACATGCTGGAATTCTGCCATCATCTTTCACTAGATGTTGAGAGACACCGAGCGAGCGAGCGTAAGGAGGAGCTGGGAGAATATGTAAAGCATGTTCAAGTTCATGCTTGCGGAGACCAGGTCATGCTATTTTTGTAACATACAATATAGGTTCTTGTTGAGGTTCTGTGAGACATGAGCCTGAGGGTCGAGTTGGAGAGACCAGGTAGGTCAAGCTTAAGACGCACTTGCTGTTTGCACCCAAGTTGCAGATTCTCAACTGGTAAACTATCCCTTCCCAGTGTTATGACAATGCAAAGTCTCAGGAACAGGTTCAACGATGTGCGAGCGGATTGCTCACTGTGTTGCTTGACAAGCCTTCCTCAAGTTTGCAATATTGATAGCAGTGTAGGGTATGTATAATGATTACTATATACATAAGCTAAACGAGAGAAACCACGATCCGCCAAAAGTCCAAAAGGTGCTGGTAATGTTACAATGCATGCGAGAAGGGAGTCCAACTTAAGTTGTGAGAATCACGGTCATTGACGACCTCGCCCCGACTCATCTACGCCCCATCCAACCCCATCTCAGCCCTCAACTCCGCCTTGATCATAAAACACATATCTCACCTCCCGCAGCGACGTTTCAGGCGTTGATGAACTCTATCTTTGCCAATCTTGTTGCAGCCAGGAAAGTTGCTGTCTACCTCAACGACATCCTCATTTTCACCAAGACATTGAAGGAGCACTGCGAGCTGACGCACGAGGTGCTCAAGCGGCTGGAGGATCATGACCTCTACCTGCGTCTGGAGAAGTGCAAGGTTGAAAAGGAGGAGGTTGAGTACTTGGGGTTGATCATCCGCCAGGGGCATGTGGCAATGGATCTGGTGAAGGAGTGGGTTCTCAACGTGAAGAGCTTGCTAAAGGATGTACGGGGTTTCCTGGGTTTTGCAAACTCCTACTGTTGCTTCATTGCACAGTTTGCTAGACTAGCATGCCCGCTCAACAATCTCACAAGGAAGGATGTACCGTGGACGTGGGGAGAAGATCAGCAGAAGGCCTTCCAGGCGCTCAAGGATGCGTTCATTTTGGCGCCCATTCTGTGTACCTGGTTGCCGGATCTCCCTACCAAGATTGAGGTGGATGCGTTGGGCTACGCAACTGGAGGGGTCATTCTCCAGGAGCAGGCCAACAGGCTCTGGCACCCCATTGCATTTTGATTGTTGTCAATGATCCCTGCAGAGCGCAACTACCAGATCTACAACTGAGAGATGCTTGCAATTGTTGAGGCACTGAAGGAGTGGCAACACTACTTGGAGGGTCTTCCAGGTGGTTTCAAGATTGCAACGGACCACAAGAACCTGGAGTACTGGCGCACTGCACAGGATCTCACCCGGCGCCAGGCTCAGTGGGCTCTATATCTGTCACGCTTCAACTTTACCCTTGGTTATCTGTCAGGGAAGTCAAACAGTCAGGTGGAGGCACTGTTGAGAGTGCCTCACCACTCAGTTCACAATGGTGAGGATAACCAGCAGCAGGTGGTGCTGAAGCCTGATATATTCAAGCGTCTGGCAGTCATGTTGTTCACCAACCCGTTGGAGGAGGAGATCAGGAAAGAGAGTCATTGAGAGGCGGAGGTGCTTGAGGGGTTGAGCAAGTTGTAGAATTTGGGAGTGCGGAAGTTGGCAAATGGCCTTGTGGAGTGGGAGGGGCAGGATGGTTTGGTGATGTATTGTGGACAGGTGTATGTGCCGCCAACGATGGAGCTGAGGCGGAAGGTCCTACACCAGTGCCACAATGCGCCAACAGCGGGTCATTTGGGTGTTCACGGTACACTGGAGCTGGTAGATTGCCAGTTCTGGTGGCCTCAGGTGCGTTCATTTGTGGAAAAGTATGTGAAGGGTTGCAATACCTGCCAATGGGCTTGAGCTCCAGCGCATCCAGTGTCGGCTCTTCACCCTCTTGAGGTGCCAGAACGGCCCTGGGGAGTTATGGGTGTTGATCTCATCACGCAACTCCCCAAGCTAGGAGGGTGCAACGCAATACCAACCTACGTGGACCCCTACACAAAGATGACTCACCACATCGGATGTGGACACCAAGGGTGTGGCGGACATTACCCACACCATCATCTTCACCCGCTACGGCCTACCAGACTCCATTGTCTCTGATTGTGGACCTCAGTTTGCGTTGAAGGTGATGCAGGCGCTTTTGAAGCGTCTGGGCATCTCTTCTTTGCTCACAACGGCTTACCACCCACAGTCAAATGGCCAGACCAAACATGCTAATCAGGAAGTCAAGAAGTACCTCTGACTTTTCTGTAACCAGCGCCAGGACGATTGGGCTACCCACCTGTTGAACACCAAATTTGTCTTGAACTCTCATGTCCACTTGGCTCACAGGAATCACTGTTTGAAGTCCTTTACAGGTATCGGCCTCAGACAAACATTTGCATTGGCTGCCCAGGTCCTGCACCATCAGTTAAGGAGCGGTTGAGGTTAATGAGGGAGGTGTCCCAGCACCCCTCGTTGACTTGCTGCCACTGCCTTTAATTCGCTTGTCTTTGTGCCCTACACAAACTTTACCCCTTCCCCTTCATCACCTGCTTTGCATTGGGAGGAGGGGAGGATTGCTCATGCGCTGACTGTTGAGGACAACAGTGCTTAGGAGGGGGGTAATGTGATGAAGTGGTTGAAAGTGTTGTAGAGAATAAGTGGGACTTCCAGATCATCCTTATCCTCTCAGATCTGTCGAGCCCTCGCTCCAAATTGAACCACCATATTACGCTTCGCTACACAAACACTAAGCATAAATCATGTAGGCAATCCTTACTCTAGATGGCATCAAGGCTGTTGCCATATATGAGTATTGCTTTTGAGCCCGTGGGGGTCTCTGTAAGACCCCGGGGATGATCTGCAAGGCAGCACACCAAGTAGTCTAGTAACGAAGATGAATAATGAGCATGGTGAGGCTGTGAGTATGCGGCCCTAGTAACAAAGTGGATATGCCGCTACATCTACTCTACAAGGCTAAGTATGCTATGTATCGTAACAGTCTCCCCACAACCACTAATCTCTCTTCAAACCAACATGTCTTTCTCTGGCCAGAAGCTTCTCCTGAACAGCTCGACAAAATCCTCCTCAACTTCTGCAAATTATTCTGTCAATCTTAGGAAGCAATGGGAGGCATTCAAGAAGTCTTGTGTGTACAATGGTAACAATGATACCATACCCAACTTCTTCTTTCCCATTTGCGCCACAATGGGAGTGCAACTGGTGGTGCCTCCCAGTTTCAATTTTAATCTGCACTCAGACATGTACAGCCAGCGCAAAGACATGTAGGCAACCATCAGGGCATCAAATATGTACATGTAATCCTGCCCACAGCGCACGCTCTCTAGTCATTACTGAAAATATCCCTCTCTCCAACACAACAATTACAGGATTATACACAGAATTTCAATGGAGTCTCAAAATAATTGACATAGATCATGACTGCACCAACTGGGAAATTATCCGGGAGTGAATGTTCTTGATCAGTGTCAGCAGGAACTCAATTCAGCAGGGCCAATTTTTCCTCCAACAAACTTTTACCCATGGGTCCGTGTTACCTACCAAAGACTCAGAGCTTCTGGAATTCCTGTCTGGCAACCCGGTCATCAAGCTATTAGAGTTCAAATTCTCAATGAATGGCACAGGTTGCTCATTGACCAGGCTCGTTGCTGCATTCCGCCTTGATTATGCGCTTCTCATGCTTAAGCTTGGCTCACTGATATAGGTTGTGACCAGCTCATTGTTGATTTGCATGATGATGCCACTGTCAAAACTTGGGGAGATGGGTGGATCTTTGAGAGAGGCACACAGACCAACTTCATCAAGGACTTGGCATTTGGGCTGCAGTACAGGGAGACAACCAAAAAAAGGGACTTGCTCCAGATTACATTCCTTGGTGGGCACTAGTCCTAGTATTACTATTGGCCAATATGTGACTGAACATTATCGCTGTCTGCCAACTTGAGAACATCGATTGCGCGTACATCCATGGAGCAGAAGTCAGCATACTTGTTGATGGCCGTGATAAAACATATAATGGCACCGCTATTAAAACCCCCAAAACCCTCCTTAAAGTCCATACAGTCAACAAACTAGAACGTGACCAGCTTCATACTCTCAATATCACTGTTGGGAAGATCAATCAGGAGGATGGAAGTCAATTTTCCTGCTTAGAATACACATACTCTCCATCCTTTACAGCTCTCCAGCCAGGAGAAGCACAATTCACGGAGCTTCTCGCTAGTGTGAATGTCAACTCGCCTGAAAGCACTGCTACTCCCAGCGCCAAAGGCTCTGTTCCAACTAGCAAGGGATTGGATGAATCCCAGCCTGAGTGATCCACCAGCAATATTGCCGGCTCAGTGGCAGGTGGGCTAGTAGGTGTCATCATAATTATTGTACTGTTGGTGGTGCTGCTTTGTCTGAAACGCACAAAGAGTAAATGCGTGGAAACTCTGTCTGGAGCCAAGAATCACAAAGGTGAGCCCTTACCATCCATCCTCAAAGCTTCAGCCTCAGCATTGCACTGATTACCTTGATTGAATATTTCCACTCAATATCAACTTCGGAACATAACCCCCCGGCAAGGTCTCTGAGCGCTAGTGTGCTTTCTGCAGGTCAGGCTGTTCCATACAGCAAGTCATACTACAATACAGCATCTGCAAGACTACTTCTGATTACAGAGCGTGCTCCCTTCCTTGCAAATCAAATAATTACCACACCCTACCTGAAGGTGTACAAAGACCCTAGCAACTTGCAGTTGGGTCATGCAATTGATTCTCAGAGGCACTTCAAATTGCATTCTGTCCGACATGAGTCTACCAGAGATGCGCAGCCAGTGGGTGTTGAAGTCGTACAGTTGTTCCAGAGGCTGGAGCAACGCACACGAGCCACAATACCGGTGGCAGTAATCAACTCAGATCAGATGTGTTGTACTCCCTGCCTGGCTCACTAAGGCTCAGAGAGGTG